AGGAATCAGAGATTCAGGTGAACAGCAGGAGCGAGTCAGAGACAAAAACTGCCCTAAAGCTTACAAAAGATTTTTCCACACAGCATCTCATTTTATCTTGACCCTCAGGACACGCTGCGCAGATTTTCATGTCCTCACCCTGCAGATGAGGAAACTGCGGCTGAGGGGTTTGGTGACCTGAGAAAGGGCACAACTGTAAGGAACTCAGGGAACAGATAGTGAAGTCCATTATTTGTTTTTGATCACTCTAGTCAAAGGCTGGTTGGTGAAACTAAAGCCCAGATGAGACTATGCAGGGAAGTTCTCCATTGAAAGCCATTCACGTGATTTACAGACTCTCTGAGGTTAGTGGCTGGCTGAGAAGAAATAAGAGACTTAATCCCATCTCCGAAATAAAGCTCATAGCCCAGCTGACAAGAGAAAATGGCCCAGGAAACACAAGAGGACTGGTTAATATAGTGCTCACTTAACTAGTACAAAGGAAACTAGATCCAAAGAGTCTCAGGCAGCCACTTGGGTGATCCCAGTCAGATCACTCTGAACTCCGTTTTGGCAGCCCAATGACTCAAGCAGGGAAGAAGGTGACCCCAGATCTGCTGCTCACATGCAGACAACTTGGCCAGGGCTGGCATAGTGAAGGGGCCCCAACTCACAAGGCCTGGGATTAGCTTTGTTCTGTTCTTGGGTTAGGTGATGCACTAAACTATGCCTGAGTCTCAATTCACATCTGTAAAATAGGGGTAGAAGGGAACTGACCTATCTCACAAGACCATTATTTTGAATTAAAGTTTTCAGGGGTTGGGGGTTTTTTAAATTAATTATTTAATTAATTTTATTTAATAATTGATAGGAAAGTTTACTTATTTATTTTTAGCACTGGGGCTTGATGTAGCTCTTTGTCACTGAGCTACATCCCCAGCCCATCTTATTTTTTATTTTGAGATAGGCTCTCACTAAGTTGCTTAGGCTGGCTTTGAACTTGGAATCCTCCTGCCTCAGCCTCCAGAGATGCTGAGATTACAGGCATGTACCATGGCACCTAGCTTGGGGTTGTTGTTTTATATATGTTGTTTTATATATGTTGTTTTTTGTGTTTATTTAACTGGCAGTAGTGCTAAAGATCTCCCTAAATCTGCAAAGCAGCCTTAAGTGGCAAGTGTCCTAATCACCTTTCCAGAGCAGGGAGATAGGAGGCTAAGAGAAAGTAAGGAGCTCACCTGAGGTTCATGACCTATGAGTGGTCAGGTCACACTTCCATCCCAATTTGCCAGAAACCCAAGAGTGTCAGGGTAGTAAAGGCCCTTGAGAAGCTCAGTCTGGAGCAGATATTCTCAACCTCATATAGGACCTATCCAGTCTGCTAATTATTCACAGTCTCATTCATTGTGACATTTCAGGTAATGTTAAAATCAGGCATGAGATTTTTATCTTTATCAGGAAGGGAGCATTAAAAATATTGCAAATGGTCTCCATAGAAAGAGTGAGTATAGGGCTCTACCTGAAACAGGTGCTGGATGCTTTGCTTCCAAGGCCTCCTCTCAGGGTGCTCTCCAATGCTTCTTTGCTTCCAAAGAGGCCCTTTATATTTATCCTAACCTGATTTCACCTGCATAAACAGGTGAGGAAGGCTCACAGTGAGTCATTTCCCCCACCCCAGGCTCAGAATAGCCTTGCAAAGATTTTTAGATGTGATCACAGGTAGAATAAACCAGGCAAACTTCAGTTTGAACATACATTTTATATTCTGCAGAAATAGTTCATTTTTCTGCCTAAAAATAAGAACTCCCCCAATTCCTTGATATTTAATCTAATCTTTAAAACAATGTTCACAAGAGAAGGCTAGCCAGTTCCACTAAAATGAACCTAATACTGGGAAACATAAATGCAAAACTAGAAGCTGTTCCAAAAAAACCCAGCCTGTTTGGGGATCTCTGTATATCAGTTACCCCT